GGAGATGCACAAAAACCCTGAAGAATAACCTGCCAGTTAACTAGGAATATGAAAAACAGCTGATTAAAAAGGAGCAAAAGAAAGAAATATGCATCCAAAAAAGAAGATCAATTAAAAGCATGATTCTGTTTATCATGTTTGATAATGGAGACGGTTGGTGGCAGTGTTTAAGATTATGGCATTTGTGCATGTATTTGTGTGAGTAAGGAGGAAAGACAACTTGTTCCCAAGTTCCCAGTGAATAATTTAGAACAGAAGCAACTGGACTGCCATTTCTTCTCAGGCTTTGATCAATAATGATTTTAGGTACATAGAACAATTCCCTTGTGCTATCTGGATTCAGATATCATAGTAAGCCTTGGATTGATTAACCAAGATTATTGAATAAGCCACCATTATCTGCACCAACACATGGTGTGAAGTCTAAAATATGCACCATGTTGTAGCTGGGTTCACATGACATGCTAAGCTATCACAAAACCAACCGTGTTCTCATTGAATGACATGTGAGAACTCACTGAATGAGCCATTGTTCCCATAGCACAGTAGTATCTGCTGAGGCTTTCCAGAATTGTAGACAGAACTTCCTTCAATTCTGTCTGAAGACACCAGGATTGTATGGAGTTTGGATACTGTGCCATTAAATGGTAGCCCCTGGTTTTGATCGGACCTACATCCATGTATTTTTTAAATTATTTTTTAGATTTTTTATCCTGCCTTTATTATTATTTTTTTTTATAAATAACTCAAGGCGAGGAACATAGTTAATATTCCTTCCTCCTCCTGTTTTCCCCACAACAACAAGCCTGTAAGGTGAATTGGACTGAGAGAGAACGACTGGCCCAAAATCACCCAGCTGGCTTTCATACCTAAGGTGGGACTAGAACTCACCATCTTCTGGATCCTAGCCTGGAGCCTTAACCACTAGACCAAACGACTCCCTAATTTAGGTGTTCATTTATTTAATTTCTGCACCACCAACTACCGAAGTCTCTGGGTACTGTACAGAAATCAAACATATTAAAACCACAACTCCTACCATAAATTTAAATTCTTGTTTCAATACACAAAACTTAATGTGAAAAGATGTGTTTTTAAAGGTTTTGGATCTGTGTCATAACAAACATGAAAGAGATCCTGAATACATGCTCTGAAATACATTGAACTTGGACAGTGGCGTTAATCAAGAAAATTTGAAAGAGATAATGATTCATGCTTCCTACATTTAGCCCAGTTAATTTTATAAAAGCTTGCATTATTATTAATCAAATGGGAGGGAGTGGGGAGGGAAAGGCATAATTTCCAAAGTATCCCATATCTGATTGCAG